CAATGGGCGAAGGCGACGGTTACGACAGTTGGGTTTTGAAGGAGCCAATGCGAACTCGGAGCGGAGAGTTTAAGAAGCGTAGGTAGGCAGTGCTGAAGTCGGTCTGGGATTGGAACCTGCTCGGGCCTGAAGGTGAGAGGCGGTCGGGGGTCCTGGGTCGGGCGGGGCTGCGGACAGGAGGGCCCTGAGTGAGTGGCTGGCCGTCCCAGATCGAGCACGGTCGCCTTTTCCTCCAGGACTCGGCGGGCACCCACCCCAAGGACCCCTCCCTCTGCAGACGCTGCCATGGCGCAGTTCGTGTTCGAGAGTGACCTGCACTCGCTGCTGCAGCTGGACGCCCCTATCCCCAATGCACCTCCCGCGCGCTGGCAGCGCAAAGCTAAGGAAGCCGCGGGGCCGGCTCCCTCACCCATGCGGGCAGCCAACCGATCCCACAGCGCCGGCAGGACCCCGGGCCGAACTCCCGGTCAGTGGGGTGCGGCGGGACATCGGGGAGGGAGAGAGGACAGCTGAGAGCGGCCTTCATGCCTCTTCCCTCAGGAGCTTGGTCAGACTCTCTGGCTTCCCTCTCCCTGCCCCAGGCAAATCCAGCTCCAAGGCTCAGACCACTCCCAGCAAACCTGGCGGTGACCGCTATATCCCCCATCGCAGTGCTTCCCAGATGGAAGTGGCCAGTTTCCTCCTGAGCAAGGAAAACCAGCCTGAAGATAGCCAGACGCCCACCAAGAAGGTATGTGTCCCAGAGGGGCCTAAGGCGCAAGACCCGCCTGTGTAATCTGGATCATGCCGTCCTGCCTCACCCTCTCGCCCTTTGTGCCAGGAACATCAGAAAGCCTGGGCTTTGAACCTGAACGGTTTTGATGTGGAGGAAGCCAAGATCCTTCGGCTCAGTGGAAAACCACAAAATGCCCCAGAGGGTAAGACCCAAAGTTCTTGGATCTTGGAGGGAGGTGTCAGCCCATCCCTACAGTTGAGAGGAGATGCCTGTCTGCTCTTCCCACCTAAGAGAGGGGAGGAGAGGTGTTTATCTGACCTTTAGGCTAGGGGCACGGGGAAGAGTCAGTTGTCCCAGTGTGTGGACCCACTCCGTTGCCACAGGTTACCAGAACAGACTGAAAGTGCTTTACAGCCAGAAGGCCACGCCTGGCTCCAGCCGGAAGACCTGCCGTTACATTCCTTCCCTGCCAGACCGAATCCTGGACGCCCCTGAAATCCGGAATGACTACTGTAAGTGCAGCCTTCTCTTTGCCCATTGGATGGAGGAAGAGGGCCTGGGGACCAGGCGAACAAGCTCATGCTCTTCCCTCTCCCTGCTCTGGCAGACCTGAACCTTGTGGACTGGAGCTCTGGGAATGTACTGGCTGTGGCGTTGGACAACAGCGTGTACTTGTGGAGTGCTAGCTCTGGGGACATCTTGCAGCTGCTGCAAATGGAGCAGCCTGGGGACTATATATCCTCTGTGGCCTGGATCAAAGAGGGCAACTACCTGGCTGTGGGCACCAGCAGTGCGGAGGTGCAGGTGAGACTTGTCCCCGTGCTTCAGTTCTGTGGCGCCCAGACCCAGGGGGCTTGTCGGGCGGGAGGGTGTTCGTGGCAAGTCAGGTCTGATCCTAGCGGCCTTCTCTCTCTAGCTGTGGGATGTGCAGCAGCAGAAGCGGCTTCGAAACATGACCAGTCATTCTGCCCGTGTGAGCTCCCTGTGTTGGAATAGCTATATCGTGTCCAGGTTTGTGGTTTTAGCTAGTCTGTTGCAAAATCAGTCTGTGTTTTTGGCCACCTGTCCCCAGAGGTACGCCTCTGAACTGAAGCAACTCCGTGCTGCTGGCCGTGTTTGGTGGCACTGCCACTGAACCTCATTCCCTTCCCTCCTGCAGTGGCTCCCGTTCTGGCCACATCCACCACCATGACGTTCGGGTGGCAGAACACCATGTGGCCACACTGAGCGGCCACAGCCAGGAGGTGTGTGGGCTGCGCTGGGCCCCAGATGGACGACATTTGGCCAGCGGTGGCAACGATAACTTGGTCAATGTGTGGCCTAGTGCTCCTGGAGAGGGTGGCTGGGTTCCCCTGCAGACATTCACCCAGCATCAAGGGGCTGTCAAGGTGAGAGTGGGGCTGGGTTGGGGCCTCTGCAGACCCTCACCCAGAACCTGGGGACTGTTAAGGGGAGACGGGATGGTAGGATTGGATGGGACGGGATTACCCTGTGACCCCTGTAGCTCCTTGTCTAGCTCTAGTACCTGCTGACCCCAACTTTATCCTACCTAGGCTGTAGCTTGGTGTCCCTGGCAGTCCAATGTCCTGGCAACCGGAGGGGGCACCAGCGACCGACACATTCGAATCTGGAATGTCTGCTCTGGGGCCTGTCTGAGTGCTGTGGATGCTCAATCCCAGGTAGTCTTTTACCTGTTCCAGCCTCTCCCTCCCAGAAGTATTCTTAACTCTGTATAGTCTTCCTTGGGCAACTGTCCCCTCCAGTGGCTTCACCAACTCCCTGCCCTGATGATTTCCAAAATTCTAACTCAGCTCTCATTCAAGCGGTCCAGACCATACTAATGTTTGTGGCTCGACTCCAACCTCATGCCCTATAGGCGGCAACACCCTAATATGTCCTAAATTACATTTGCCTTCTTGTCTCCCTGAAATGTGTTCCTTCTCCTCTTACATTGTTTGAGAGGGATAGAACTTTATTCAGAAATCTGCCAGACTTCCTAGAATCTTTCATCCTCCTCAGCTAGTCCCCAAAACACATCATTTTTACCTCAGTATCATTCACATGTGTCCCCTCCCCTTACAGCCACTCTGCTCAGTGGAGGCCCATTGCACTGGTCGCTCAGCATTCTTATCTCCTCCAGTCTGGCCTCTGCACTGGATCTGGGTTGTCTGTTACTGTCCTAAAACCCTGCAGTAGCTCCCTAGCACCTACAGCACTTAATCCACATTGGGTAGAATGACATTTGAGGCCCTTGCTGTGGGGTCTCCCTGCACCTACTCCAGCTTTCTCTCCTTCCACCCTCATCTCCCCCATGCAGTCTTCATTCCATTCTAAACTTGGGCTCTGGAGCCAGAGTTCAAATTCTGGCTTTGCCACCTATTAAATTTGCATGTCATCTTAGGCAACTTGCTGAAATTCCTTCTGCTTGATTCCTTATCTGTTAAAATGGATAATAATTCTCTCAAAAAGCTTTTATAAGAACTGTGATGATTCAAGTCTGAGTCTGGCACCTGGCAGGGTGCCTAACACTCAAATGGACTTAGTTCTCATTTGAGTAGTGTTGGCTCTATGTTGTGCCCACATCCCAACCCCTCTCCACAGGTGTGCTCCATCCTCTGGTCTCCCCACTACAAGGAGCTCATCTCAGGCCATGGCTTTGCCCAGAACCAGTTGGTTATTTGGAAGTACCCAACCATGGCCAAGGTGGCTGAGCTTAAAGGTAGGTACTTACCAGGTATTTACCCCAAAGATAGAGATGTAGTGATCCAAAGGGGCACCTGCACCCCAATGTTTATAGCAGCAATGTCCACAATAGCCAACCTATGGAAAGAGCCCAGATGTCCATCGACAGATGAATGGATAAAGATGTGGTATATATATATATATATATATATGTATGTATATGTACACACAATGGAATACTATGCACCCATCAAAAAAAAAATGAAACCTTGCCATTTGCAATGACATGGATGGAACTAGAGGGTATTATGCTAAGTGAAATAAGTCAATCAGAGAAAGATAATTATATGATCTCACTCATGTGGAATTTAAGAAACAAAACAGGGTCATAGGGGAAGAGAGGAGAAAATAAAACAAGATGAAACCAGAGAGGGAGACAAACCATAAGAGACTCTTAATCACAGGAAACAAACTGAGGGTTGCTGAAGGGGAGGGAGGTGGGGGGATGGGGTAACTGGGTGATGAGCATTAAGGAGGGCACATGATGTAATGAGCACTGGATGTTATATGCCACTGATGAATCACTAAACTCTACCTCTGAAACTGGAAAAAAAGAGGAAAACCCATGAGGGGAACAGGTTTGAAATGAATGGAGATGAGTTTCCTTTTGAACATGTTAAGTTTGAACTGCCTCTGAGATACTAAGTTGGGATGTCAGTCAAGCAGTTTTAGATAAGACTGATGAGCCACTGACCTCCACCTCTGAAACTAATAATAGACTATATGTTAATTAATTGAATTTATATTTAAAAAATGGTTCAACATTTTAAAAAAAGGTAGGTGCTAAGTGATCAAAGCCAGACACAAAAGGAAAGCCACATACTGTATATGACTGTTTACATGAAGTGTCCAAAAGAGGAAAATGCAAAGAAATAAAATAGATTGATGGTTGCTAGGGGCAGGGGGGAGAAGGTGATGAGGAGACACTTTCTTTATGGAGCGATGAAACGTTCTGGAATTATTGTGATGGTTGCACAACTTTGTGAATATACTAAAAACCAATGAATTGTATATTTTAAAAGGATGAATTGTGTGTTTTAAAAGGATGAATTCTATTATCTCAGAAGTGTTATAAAAAACAAAAAAGGTAGGTGGCCCTCAATATTGGGAGGATGGAGGTGTGTCTGCATTCATATGTACTGCTCTCCCTCCTCATGCCTCAGGTCACACTGCCCGGGTCCTAAGTCTGACCATGAGCCCAGACGGGGCCACCGTGGCCTCAGCAGCAGCAGATGAGACCCTGCGGCTGTGGCGCTGCTTTGAGTTGGACCCTGCACGGCGGCGGGAGCGGGAGAAGGCCAGTGCAGCCAAGAGCAGCCTCATCCACCAAGGCATCCGTTAAGGACCAACTCATCACCTCAGTTGTTTTTGGTTTTTTTTATTTTTCTAATAAAGTCATGTCTCCCTCTCTTCTCCTTGCATGACCTCTGTCCCAGCAGCCTTACCAGAGGCTCCTCTCTACTGTCTTCAGAGAGCCAAAACCACCCCTCCTGTTTGCAGACAGGGCTAGCACTTCTTCCATTCACACATGTAACACACAGCCTTGGTGGTTTCCTCTGTCACTTTTAATGAAGACCTAAGTGAGTGAGCAGCCTCCACAGGCTGTATTCCCAGGCCCCCCACCCACCCTGACCTTTGGCCAAGAAGCTTCTGCTTCAGTGTGGGGTAGAGAAGGAGGGATCATAGGTCTGCAGTGACAAGATTATTGCTGACCTCTTCAGTGTGAGGAAAAAGGCCACAAGACCCTGGTAGGGGCCAGTCCTGAGTGCTCCTCTCCCAAGTTTAAGGCAGGGAGGGGGAAATAAGTGTCCAGCCCTTTCAGCCCCCAGCTCTGGAGTGGCAGAGGGCAATGAGGCCATGTCCTTGGAGCTGGCCGAGAGAAGTGGGTGAGGAACGGAAGCCGTGGTCCCTGTGTACCAGCTGTGGGGAGGGGAGGGCCGGTCCCCTGCTCAGTCCTGACCACTTAAACCCTGGTCACAGGTCACCGGTGTAGGTGGGGAGAAGTCAGATGCTGCCCAAGGCGCAGTCCTGAGGCACTTAGGTGGGCACCGAGCTAGGCCACGTTTCTCATTTGGCCTTGACTTTGGTGGTACCTGGAGCTCCATTTTGCTGAAGTACACGGGGCAGCCGCTTGCCTTTGGTGTAAGAGTGATACCAGAAATTGGAGAAAAGCATGAAGAAGATAGTGCCGTACATCCAGATGAGGTGGATGATGAGTGGATACTGGTAGTTACAGCTAGGCATGAAGTAGTACTGGGAGATGTGCAGTGAGACCAGGACGAACTGGATCTAGAATAGAAAAAGGCAAGGGTCAGAGGAAACAGAGGTGGTAGAGAAAGACCGAATGTTGAATGCGGAGGCACGGGGTCAAAGGTGACGCAGGTTGAATAAAGGTAGGATCCAGACCAGGAAGGAAGGTTGGGGGAATGGTTATGGGCCAGGCCCCTCACCAGCTGGATGGCTGTCATGTGCTTTTTCCACCACAGGTAGGGCTGAGCCACCGGGCCAAGGGCGGACAGCCCATAGTACAAGTACATGATGACATGCACAGAAGAGTTGATCATGGCGTGGAAAGAGCCCATTCCTCCTGTCAGGGGACAATGAACCAGGTCAGGAAGAGTCGAGCTGCTGGTTCTCAGTGCCTGCTCCTCTTCCCCCAGTGGCCTTCACCACTCACCCGGGGCAATTTTTATCCCCCACCACCAGCTCCAGGGAAGCACCGAGTGGTGGAAGACATGTAGGAAGGTCACCTGTCCATCTTTTTTCCGGAGAATGAAGATCACCTGAGAAGAGTGGGGGAAATGGGTTTCAGAGCCAGGGCCTCTCCTTTCTCCCCGCCAGGTCCTCAGAAATCTCCTACAACCACTCACCGTGTCCATCAGCTCAATGAACTTGGAGAAGAGGAAGAGCCAGGCCACTCGAACCATCTGCAAGAAGTCAGGCAGCCTTAGGACCCCCATGCTACTCCAAAAACTTCCCTGAACTGGTCCATAAGCCCAGGGCATAGCCAAACTGCTATCCCCAAGGTGCTTATAATCTAGCTGCACCCCTCCACCCCCACTTACCCTTAGTGCCTCCGGGCTGCTGGAATAGTCCACAGGATCGCAGCGCCAGGTGTAGGTACTCAACCAGCCAGACATCAAGAACTAGGAAGAAGTGTGGATTAGACCACCAGGGATCCACCCTGCCCAATCCCTCCTGCTATCTAGCTGAAGAAATGGATCTGAGCCTCTCTGGAAAGGAGATGCCATGCTCTGACCCCAAGGCCTGCCCCTTATCCTGCCAGCAGGATTTAAAACCTAGGTATCCCAGAGGCCCACCTCATAGACAATGTAGAGGGAGAGTGCCACCAGTGAGAAGTTGTAGACAATCATGAAGCCCCGGAGCTGGAAGGGCTTCCGATTGGCCATGATGCGAGGCCCAAGTGACAGAACGAAGTATATGTAGGTCAGGAGGATGGAGGTCATTAGCAGGGGGGACCCCATCAGAGGGTAGCCCTGGATCCGAGGATCTGTGGATAAGGGTCAAGGAGTCAGAAAGAGTCACAGGGTCCAAAGGGTCCCCACCATGTGTACAGGCATGCGGTCAGGTCACAGAGGGTCAAGGGGTTGGCAGGGACTCTCCAGTAGGAGACAGCCTTAGATCCAGGGATCCTGGGGCAGGAGGGAGGACAGCATCTTACCTGCATACTTCATCATCTCCTGGTACAAGTTCACAACTGCCTCCATCCTGGCTAAAGATTCTGGGGAGGGATGGGGGGGTGGGTGTCAGGGCCGGCTGTGCCCCCAGCCTACCCCTGACCCACAGACAGGACACAGACCAGATGAGACAACTCCCGACACCTCCTTGCAGAAAGGACAGAGGAGGGAGAGGAAGGAACTGCCGGGACCGGGGGTAGGAGGCACGGCTTCCCGCGCAGCCTGCCTGCCTGCTGGGAAGGGCTGTGCCGCCCGCCTCTCCACACCTCACTCGCCTCGCTCACTCCCTGCTCCGCCACCGAGATTCTTACCACCCGCTCTCACCTCCCCTCTTCCTCCACAGGGGTGCTCTCCATTTCCGGTCTCTCTCTGGAGAATCTTACCTCTCCTCTCCAGAATGACCGCCTCTCCCTTCCCCACCAGTCTCCCACCTCTCCAGCGGGAGATGGTCCTTTTTCTGCCCAGGGATCCTCCCCTTCAACCGCTCCAGTCCACCTTCGGGATGCTCGCCCCCACAACTCCCTCCACCCCTGCCCCTTTCTCCTCTCCTCTGCCCTCCCAGGCTCTCACCTCCAGCGACTCTCTCCGCTCCCCGCTCCCCTCCTCTCCGGCACTCCCCTCCTGCCCTTCCGCTCCCGAGCCTGGCTCTTGGAGACTCCTGCCCCGGCGGCTCCACCTGTCCGACTTGATCTGGAAGCGCCCCGCCCTCCACCCGCCCCCGCTGCACTGCGGCATGGGGTGGAGGGTGGGTCCAGGCCACAGGTCAGGGCCTGGAGGAGCAAGACCAAACCAGGATTGAGAAAGCCAAGAGTAAAGCATGGGACTCACCACCCACCCACCCTGGATAGCCAGATGAGCTAAGGCTCTAGCTTAGTTTTGAGCCAGAAACCTCGCAGGACTCCAGCCCAGGCCTAGCCTTGGCCCAAAAAGAATTGTTGAAAACCCACACCCAGCATCCTCTCCTAAACCAGCCATAAATTCTCAGTTTGTCCTGCTTCAGAATGGGTACAATCACCCTTCTCTCCCTGGGAGGGGCAGCGAGGCCAGTGGCATGTGAGGAGGTGGGTGAGTGGGGGAGGTCTCGGGAATCTTCCCCTCCCTTAGGGAGGGTCCCAATGAGCCAGGCCCTCCCTCTCCCCCTCAGAACCTGAAGGAATGTCGGGGGAGGGCGCACTGGGACACAAAAGCCTCGGCCCAGACCCAGGAGAGCCTGGGATGCCAAGGCTGTCCCAGAGGGGCAAGGCATTCCCCAACCGGCCAGGGTAGCAGATGCTCTGCGAGCTGCCTGCATTCTAGTCTGCCAGGTCCCCTCTGTCCAGGGAACAAGGCGTGCAGGCACTAAGTGAAGAATATCCACCTTCTGACATCTCCACGAGGCCTTCCGCGTGCCCCTCACACACTCTGCTAGGCACACATCCCACAGATGCTCTCACAGCCTCCATGGGGATCCCCAACTGCCCCCACCACGGTCAGGCCCCAAGTCCTCCCTCTCGCACAGCTCCCCCCAGCACCAATGACAGGCCAACCCAGGGCTGGCACACCTATGTACACGCAGGGCCCACACACCTCCTGCTGGCATTCACCACCCCCCTGTGACACACCACCCAAACAGCCTCCATGGGCTTTGACATGCAGAGTTTCTGATACTCAGACCCACTCCTAACTCCATTCACACTGGCAACACACCCAAAACACTCACACGGCCGCCTTCCCTGGTCCTGCACTACCACGTTCAAATGCTCATGCTCACACCCCCAGGCCCACACGCAGCTTTACTCACACGTATGTGAGTCACAGATAAATGTGGTCACAGACATAAACTCAGACACCCCACTTAGAGATGCATGAACATAAAGTAACCCTTACCACATTCAGACACACCTGCCTTCGGGTCTTGCACACAGATCTCTTTCCTGGACGACAATCACCATTCATTCATTCACAATCAGATCTCGTTGGCTGCCTCTTCTGTGGCGGGGCCTACCTGGCAGAGGCCTGTGCTCACACACGGTTCCTCCCTGACCCATGTGAGCCTGCCAGCTGGTTATCTCTCCCGCTCTCGCAACCACCACCTCAAGTTCACCCCCCCCACAAACACTCAAGCCCCCTGGAGGTCAGGAGTGGCTCGAAGCTCTGGAAAGGACCTCTCCCCCTGCTTGAGGAGCACTGGGTGTGTCCCTGGTAGGGGAACTCAGGCGGGTGCTTCCTTCCTTTAAGATGGATGGAAGGGAAAAGGAGACAGGCAAAGGAGGGGGGAGGGGAAGGGAAAAGAGAAGAACTGGGAGCAAAGGAGAGGGAGGAGAAGAGCCTAGAGGGACAAGACCGGGAGCTGGTGGAAGAAAGCCTAGGTTTAAGCAAATAGGGGCCGGGATCCGAGGGAGGCTGCCGGCCAGGCCCGGCCCCAGAGAGCTGGGACCTCCCACCCACGGTCCCGGGAAGAGCCTCGCCCACAGGCTGGGCAGGGCAGGGCAGGGCAGGGCCAAGCGGGCAGGGTGCCCGGGCACGTGGACAGCCCGCCCGTGGAAGGTCCAGACTCACCAGTGGGGGGCCAGGCGGGCAGCAGTGAAGGGCTCAGAGTGAGCAGGGCCAGAGAGAAGTCGCCAGGGCCAGCTTGCCTGCCACTTCCTCATCTGCTGGGCCGACTTTCTGTCACCAGAGGGGGACGGGGCGGGCCGGGCGGGGGGCGCCTGCTGATTGGCCCCGACTCGGCTCGGCCCGAGGGGCGGGCGCAGGGGCGGGCCGCCAGATTCCGGGGCAGGAAGCACGCCCAGCCAGGGCTCCCCACCCCTTCCCTCCGCAACGCGCAGCCGGCTCCGTCGGTCCCTGGCCCGCCAGAGGTGCACCTGGCTTCTTCCTGACGCTCAGTCTCATTCTCGGACCTCCAGTGACTGTCCACCAACGCGACCAACACATCTTCTGTCCGTCGCAGGCCTACCCAGGTTGGACCCTGCGGAAAGTTCCAGGCCTCAGCATCCCTTTCCTCCAGAGCTCTCTCTCCAGGGGGTGGTGGGAGGGTTGCGCGGGAGGCAGCACGTGTGTGCTAAGGGCTAACCAGGGGTAGCAGAGAGGTCTCAGCCGGAGGGAGCAGCTGGGCAAGGAAGCCTTCTCAAACAGCCCATAAACTTGAGCCCTAGCATTAGGAACTGCTAAGAGGACTTCACAGTGGGAGAGTACAAGTGGCCTGGGGCAGGAACAGTGAATCACTGGCTAAACTGGCCTTGAAGGTACTGAAAGGAAAAGGGAAGTGAGGCCAACTGTGGCTGAATCTAGTAGGATTTGAAGGCCAACACGGGCAGTTGGGTTTTATTCTGGAAGCAGAGGAGAAAGAGTGAAGGTTCCCAAGGAGGCTGCAATCAGGCTTGTATGATCACATACTTATTGGACACCGACCATGTGCAAGACTGTGGTAAGTGCTAGTGACACATGGGTGAAGAAGGCAGATGCTGCTGTCGCAGCCCGGGGTTTACGGGCTAGCAGAATCACGTCGCTCTGGCAGCAGGGCGATGAGCTTATTGAGGCAGACCAGGTGAGAGCTAACAGCCTGACCTAAGCAGCTTTGGAAACTGATGGGATTCGAGTGGCAGACACTGGAGATGTCCCCAAGACAGGTGGACTCTCTATACTTAGCTGTCTGTCCAGCTTCCTGCACTCCCCTCCCAGCTCCACACACTCACCCACTAGACTGAACTGGGGTGAGGACTAAGTTTGAGCGGAATGTAATGTGCAGCTCCAGCGGCTCCTGGAGCGGTGCTCTGCATCTCGTGACCCAATAACTGCTTGTTGGATCAGACGGTGTAAATGTGGACAGAAAGGGAATTCCAGAAGAGACCGTGGTTTGGGAGAAATAATATGCTCATAAATGGTGGGATGCAGCCGTGTAGTTTAGTCTTAGAGGTAAGAGGTCAGAGCCAAACTTGAACTATGATCCAGCCTGTGAGCAGCTACCCTTGAAAGACAATTCAAAAGGCTCAAATTTCTTAGCGTTATAACATTAAGGCCTCCCTGACCGGGCCCTCAGTCTGCCATTCTACCTGTTACTCTCCTGTGCTAGGCTTTAACTGTTCGCCAAGGATGTCTGCGTCTTTCGCACACTCCCACCCCAAGCCTGGTCCCCTGGCTCAATACAAGGTACACACAGCTCTCCCAGGTAGTAATACCCTTCTCCAAGCGCTGCTCCCCCAATCCTACAGCAGTCCTAAAGCGACACAATTGTCTGCAACCTCCCCCACTCGACGTTCCTCTCAGCCAGAGGCACGTGGTAGTCGGCTCCGTATCTCTTGCACCTGGGCCCACTGGCTGGCTCATTTGATCCTTCAGAATGTGGAGTGAATATCAGAATAAATGAGACTGTGAGAAAGGCAAGAGAGGTCGAGGGACCCAGAGTCAGGCAGGGAGGACGGTGAGAATTCAGAAGGCTTTCTACTTCCCCGGGGGGGGCAGTCTCCCTTGAGTCTGTAAATATTTGTTTAAAGCCTAATGTGTTCCAGGTATACTTTGGTGGCTTTGGGGTCACCCCTGACTCCGCAGGCCTGAGTTTAAATCTTCCAGTGAGTACCTGCGTGAGCTTCTGCAAGCTGCCAAACCTCTGTACGATGGCAACTGCAGTGCCTCCCCCATCCTCGAGAAGCGTGAAGGAGCTGGGCCACGTGCAGTGCTTAGCCCTGCTTCTGGACGCAACATTTCAGACGGTGGGAAGCAACCCATACGTTCAGAACATACCACTGCCGAAAACCAGTATGTCAGTCTTGTGTGTATACTCATGAGCACTGGTTCGACAGATACTTCCTCAGCGCTTACTGTGTGCACACACTGCTCGGAGAGCTCTAGTGAGAGGCTGTGCATTCAGTATCCACCTAGGGACAAATGAGACACGAATAAAGCAGACGACCAGCGAGGATGTGCAGTCACCGAGGTCAAAGGTAGTAGAAGCAGGGAACTTCAGCTACCCATTTATTCACCTGGGCCCCAGTGGTAAATGAGCACAGCATGCCGTCAGTCAACGCTGACTGACTACAGGAGTGAACATGCACCAAGACTCACTTCGCTCAGTTCCTGTCCTAGTCCTGGGAAAAAGCGTCTCTGATAGAGATCACCTGGCCCCACATCCTACCAAATGGCATCCTCCATCCTCCACGGCCCTGGGTTTCCTGCAAAACACTCGAAGTCTAGAGGAGGACACCAATCATAGTTAGCATGTGGCGAGTGTTCCCACAGAGATAAACACAGAGGCTTATGAAAGCACTGAGGAGGGGCACCCTACCCCAGGGTGGCGGCGAGTTCTTGAAGGCTTCACAGAAAGGACACTAAGCTGAACGTTGAAGGGCACTTTCTAGAAAGCAGGGAAATGCATTCCAGGCAGAGGGAAGCATGGGTGTGAAGGCACAGAAGCAAGAGATGTGGCAGGTTCGGGGAGCTCTAGGTAGTTCAGTGTGGCTCCAGCTCAGAGGGCAGAGAGGTCAGGGCAGGAAACACAGGCAGAAATCAGTTTATACAGAGCCCTGAACGCCATGGTAAGAAGTGTGGATTTTGTTCTGTTTATGTTTTTCAGCCCTGGCTGCACATAATCACCTGGGAGCTTTTAAAAATATCAATGTCTGGCTCTCACCTTCAGATTGATTCTAATGGCTGTTTTTGACGGGAAGAGTCTTGAGCATGTTTATGTGCGGTGTGGAAAGAGATAATGGGATCCAGCATACACACGGAGGGATTAGCCTTTGGCTAAGGAGAACACCTCACAGACTGACATGTACGGAAAAGAAGGGTAAATTTGTCAGGGGACTGGGAGAGGAGGTCATTTGGGGCCTGCAGAGAAGCTTGGTGGAACGGGCAGGCTGATAAACTGGAGAAACTGAAGGGGTCCAGGAAGGGGTCCAGGAACTCACAGGCTCGGTAAGTTGAGTTTGGCCAGGTATTGGGGAGGGGCATGCAGGGGAAGAAGCCCCAGTCCAACAGCTAAAATTCCCCCTCCTTCATGGAACCTTCCTGACTAACTGGAAGTGAGGTGACTCCCCCCGGGGCCCCCCCTGTCTGACTCACTGCTCACTCACTGCTCTCTCAGGGGCCCTTCTCCATCCTCATTCCCCAGAAGATAAACCACTGATTATTTTCTGCAAGGGTTCAGTCTGAAAACCACCATCCCTGTGAACGCAAACAACTCCGTTCCCATGATTATCTGAGGCTTTACATGTTTCAGCAGAAATATTAAAAGGAATTGGAATCAAAGAAGCAGGAATAGCAATGAGAAACAAATGGAAAAAGGCATGCCTGTGTGTTTTTGAGCAGGTGGGCGAACGGGTGGAGGAGTGGAGGGGACAGAGCATGGGAGACGTGGGGGAGTCGGCTAAAAATGATAGGAACTGAGGGTCTAGGCTAACAGACACCAGGAGTGGCACGTAGAGATGAAAGCAGTCTCCTGGGGGCTGTGTCAGGCTTCTCCCCTCCCCATCCTGTAAAGGACAAAGGGCACTTTCTACACAGTCGCCACACAGAGGAGTTGGGGGGGAGGGCTGAGTCTGTGAGGACAGGGGAGTGAAGAGAGGGTGAAGGGGTTGTCAGTTAATCATTCTGCATATCCTTGGGCCTTTGCCCGCTCGCCAGTGTCCTCCACCTAAGGCTGAGACCTCTGCTAAAGGAACCAGAGCTGGAAAAACATTCAGCTGGCAGAAGGGGGAGACTGTGTGTGAACACTCGTCACATCTGTCCGTGGGCAGCCAAAGCCTACACACTGTGGGTAGCATGCATTGCTCACTGAACAGAACTAAAGAAACTCAGGTATGGGAAGAGGGCTGTGATAGAACCTGCAGAAAAAGCTGTGGAGAGGGAAAAGGGGAGACTTTTGGTTAGGGGACAAACCAGGGGAGGTTATCAAGATGAGGGAAAGACAGCCAGATCTGGAAGATGTGTTGAGAGGGGCCAAAAGGGGAAAAGAGAAAGCGTAGCTTATTATTCACTACTTTCTCTGGCAAGAATGGGCCCCTAAGAGCTGCTTTCCGTACGTTCTTATGGTTCAGTCCTGTAACTACTGTTATCCCCACTTCATGGATGGAAAGAATTGAATCAGAAAGGGTGTGGATGGGCGCCTGGGTGGCTCAGTTGGTTAAGCGACTGCCTTCGGCTCAGGTCATGATCCTGGAGTCCCGGGATCGAGTCCCGCATCGGGCTCCCTGCTCAGCAGGGAGTCTGCTTCTCCCTCTGATCCTCCCCCCTCTCATGCTCTCTCTCTCTCTCTGAAATAAATAAATGAAATATTAAAAAAAAAAAAAAGCGTGATGGATTTTTCTCAAGGTCACATGGCAAGTAAGGCGGAAGCAACACAGGTGTTCCAGGCCGAGGAAAAAGTGTGGACAAAGGGATGGAAGGAGGAAAGCACAGAACAGGTACAGGGAATTGCTACACCTGATTCTGCTTAGCCAAACCATACGCTGAATAAGAGGCCTTCATATGCCAGAAGGTGAAAAAGTTGGTTGGTCCCAAATGAAAGAATGAGGAGTTTTGTTTGTACTGGGGCATCCCGAAGAATTTTTAAGAAAGGGGTTATGATCCCCATTGTTCTTTAGAACGACAAACCTGGGGACAATATGATATATATCACCAGGAGGAGAGGAGGGGAAGGGGAGCCAGCCGAGAGACCAGCTACAGTGCACAGGTGTGATGTACACACACACACACACACACACACACACACACACACCTGTGACACACAGGAGGCTTGAGAGCGTAGAGCAGACAGAGGACACAATTGACAGGAAGGTGGTCATGCTGGATAACTCAGGTGGAGCAGAGTGGAGGAAATGAATGCATTTGGGGACATCTGGAGTGTGAAGTAAGTGACACATTCCATAGGTAATCTTAAAACACAGTTCTGGAAGTTTAGAATGGACAGGGCTCGAGGAAAAAAAAAAATCCAAAGATTCTCTGAAATCACATAAAGTAGACTGTGAGAGCTCAGACACTTTCCCAGCCAGGGGAAAAGTGCTTTCATTTCCTTTAAGGAATTCCTGCCCCCACTCCACTGGCCTGTTAATCATGGTGTTCTCCCAGTTTCCCCCAGTCTGAGCTCCTAACAGCCCAGAATCCAGTCAAGAACAATTAGAGTTCCTACATGAGATGTGCCCTCCTGCTGCAGAGTGCCGAAATACAGAGACAGAGAGCCTCGGACATCGGAGCCTCCTGCAGCCGGTCACCCTTCAACCCTCCCTCTGAATAACCCAAATATAATCGGGTCCCCCTCTCTTTGTTTTTGGTTAAGCTAGTTTAATTGTAATGTGCTATAATCAAAGCAGTCTAATATACCATGATGCAATAAAAATGAAATTGCTCAGGAGAGAGTAGGGGAAGAGAATAGTAGTTAATATTTGAGTGCTGACTATACTTCAAGGGCCTTTTATGCCCTTCTAAGAAGTTTGGACTTTACCCAGTAGAAAATTACGAGCTACTTAAAGGTTTCACTTTAATTTTAAGTATGTTCAGTGCAAAGTACCCTTCTGAGGTCTAGGCTATAATCCCATTTCACAGAGGTGGAAACTGGGGTTCTTGGAAGGGAGATAACTTGCCTCAGGCCACACAATGGATGTGTCCAGATCAGGTATAATTGAAGAATGGTCGAGTATACAGGGAAGGAGTTGGTAAAGACCTGATAGAAGTGACACTGGAAGGATGAACAAGGGGACTGGCAGCAGGAAAAAGAGAGGGCAGACAGTCCAAGTAGAGGGCAGAGCCTCTGCAAGCAGTAGACGTGTGACATAGCACCTCACTCCCGGGTCCTAGCTCCAGCTGAGAGTACTTACAGCTCAGTGGCCAAGAACAGTGGAGTTGCCGTGACACAGCAAGGCCTACGGGACTGGTGGTGAGTGTGAAGAGAGGCAAGCACAAGCTCTGATCTGTGATACCTGGGGAATTACAACAGCAGCCCATGAAGA